TTTTTTTTTTGGAATACTTTAATTGTTTCCCGTTTTCTTTCATAGTTCGTTGGTCAACGTCTGAAGTATCTGTTAGCTTATTCATTCACGCATTTTATTGGTGAGGAAAAAAGTTTTGCTTAAAATTTCTTTTCACTTTACTTGCATTTAATATTAGAAATCTTTTCTTTTCAAGCGTCTAGCATGAATGATAGAGGGGGAAAAACTGACTGTCGTTTTTTGAATATTAAATAAATGTGGTGTTGAATCTGTTATAAAGACCAGACTCTGATGTACTGCAAAAGTTTGAAAGATCCCATTCCCTTTTCTGAAAAAAAAAAATTCTTTTCGTTTTAGCGAAAACGATACGGTAAATCTCTGTGTTTTTTTTCTTGTTTTTGGAGGTGATAAATTTTTTTTGTTTATACGATTATGCTTTGATTATGCAAATGTTATGATGTTGCCGATGACGACAATGACGATAACGGTGACGGTAATGATGATCTCATCTGCTGAATGGCTTGAATTTTCTTCATCCAACAAATTATTCGCACGATGACTTATTTGATTGTGCGGGATTTTTTTTTTTTTTCAGAATTAGCACGATAAAAGAATTTAGCATTTTATGGCTATTCTTTTTTTTTTCAGCTAATTATCATCTGAAGAAAAGCACTGATTTTGTTGAATAAGTAATTTTTTAGGGGAGGTGGAGAGGGGGAGAGCTATGGGCTGTATTTTGCTGTTAGTTGTTGTTTTTGTTGTCGCTTTCGTAGAGGGGAGGGGGCTATGTCCTTTTCGATACAATTTGTTCTTTTTGACATTTTGATAATGGGTCATCAGAGAAATGCTTTAGAAGCCGACCAATTAAATGATGAAAGAAGGCAAATCAAGTAAGTAATCAAAATATGTACCGACGGTCTTCTTTTTCTATTTCTATATAAGGGTAATAATCAAACTGTGTGTTTTCAGCAGTGAGATTGTTGGATAGCGTTGTCTGAACAAGTAAGCGATAAGCACTTAAAAATTGCTTGATTTTTTGTACTTTTTTTATTGGCTGGCTTATTTATTTATTTTCTGGTTCTATTAGTGTGTAGGTATATTTTCATGTAATAGGAAGGGGATGGGAGAGCACTGGTGATTTGTATATAAATATGACTCATTATATGAGTAGTTGACGAAGACAACAAAAGACGGATTAAACTGATATTGTACTATAATGCAGTTGAAAGTTTTTATAATTTGGCGTTTTTTTTTTTTCTGAAAGAAAATAAGGAAAATTTTTGTATACAGTTATTTATAGTCTGTTTTTGTTTTTATGCATGTTTCTTTTCATATGATATTTGGTGTTCAACAAAAAAAGAAGAAAAAAAAAAGATGTTTTACAGTAGTCGTGCGTAACAGTTTAAAAAACGGGACAATTTCTTTTCTTGAAATTTTTTATTTTTTGTTTTTTTTTTTTTTTAATTTTGTTGTCTCTTTTTAACGATTAGTTTGGATGAACTGTTATTGATTTTGAGCGTGAAAAAAAAAGCAGAGAAAAGATATCAAAAGTGGAAGAGGCGAAGGGAGAGAAAGAGGGAAAAGGATTAATTTTAGAAGCCTAACAATAGTTTGAACTTTAAAACTAGATGAATTTCAAGCATAAAGACCAGGAAACAAAGTTATGCTATCGCTGTGGTTGTAGTCTAAATAATTTGTGTTTTTTAAGACATTTTTTTGTTTTGATTTTATTGAGCTTTTTTGTTTTTGCTTCTCAAAATTTTCTTCTTCTTATGAAAATTGAATATTTTTATAAAATTGTCGACCAGATATTTAGGCAACACTTTTTGCTTTATTTTTTAAATTGTTCAAAATTATGTTCAGTAAAAATTGCGTCATAAATATGAGTTTCAAATTTTTCTTATTTTATTTTTAAACTTGGATATTTTATTGATGACAAAAATGGCGTTTTGATATTTTGACAATTGTAAATATTTGAACACTATTATTATTTTTCATATTTTTGTTTTCTTTTATTCTGCTATTTTATTTTCATACAGTATTCAAATTGTTTGGTGGAATGCTACAATATTGTCAGTGGTAGCAGCAGAATTCTGGATACTTTTGGTATAGTTGGCTGAATGTAACCAGATAAAATTCAAGTTGTTTTTTTAACCGGTTTTAATTGAATCGTCTAGTTGACACCACTTAATCTTATGTAATTCTTTGTGTTACTGTTGCTGAATATGATGATGGTGATGAAATCAGAGTAATTTAATAAGCGGTGTTACGTTTATCTTTTATAGACTAAATATGACCAAGATGGCGACTAAATAACAGCACAGTAATATAAGACATCGATATGCTTAGGTTGTTTGGGTCTTCTGATGTGAAATTTATTTCCACAATGGTTACAGCTACATCAAAAACTTTATATACCCAACATTTAATATAGCATTTTTCAAAAAAAAAAAAAAAACAAAAGAGTTATTTTTTTCTTGGTAAACTACTTTTAAGTTATTTGGAATGTTAAATTGGAAATTAGCACTTACTTATAAGTCGATCGTGTATCAGGTGTATTGCAGAGGTGTTGGGATACTGTTGAAAAAAAGTTGTTTCTGAAAATAGTAAACCGTAATATCTTTTTTTGCACTTTATAGGCGTTTCTCATAATGGTCTTCTAATTACAGATTGGTTTTTGGAAGCAGTTATTTGAAACTGCTGTATCTGTAAGATATTACTTCCTAAGTTTAATCACAAATTTTTAGCGTTATAGGTACTTGGATTGTTTTTTACTTTTTTCTGGTTTTTGAAGTGTTGTTTAAACAGTTTTTCACAAGCTTTAAGAATTCTGGGAAGAAGGAGGAGCAGGTAGAAATGATGACGAGAGAAGAGCGAAGAAGGAGAGGGAAGAATGGACAATTAAAGATATCGATAATATCTATCGTGGCTTGGAGTAAAACAGTTACTCTACTGCTACACATTTAATTATTTATTTGTTTATTTCAATTTTTTCTGCTCTATTTACTTACCTGTCTAAATTTGTTGTGTTTCAAATTTTTTTATTTCTGTACTTTTGTAGGGCTATTTTAAAAATATGTTCGAAAAGAGAAAGAACATGGCGGTTTTTCTTTGAACTTCCAATTTTTTTCACTTTTCAATAAACCATAAAGAACATTGTCCGATTACTTAGGTTTCTTTTCAATTTGTCAAAGAGCCCGATCTTAACCCATCTATTAGTCGTTCTGCCAATTGTATATGGGTTTTTCTTAAAGAGGAGGAATTTACTAAGTAGATTCTGCGTGCTGGCAGAAGAACACTTCTGTAAAACAACCTTTATTTGTTGTTAACCACTGGATGTTGTTTATCAATGCGTTGTCACTAAATTGCTTAGATATTTCGGATGTCTCGAAAATAATAATGTATTCAATATATGTTTCCTCTTATTGTAGACTGGTTCTGCGTAAGTGCTATGGTGTGATTGGGCTACTCGACTGATGTCAACGGGCGTTAGCTCTACAGTCTCAGAAGCTCGAGACGTCCAAAAAGTAAAGGCGCATCACCGAAAGACATCGTCTCTTTGGGTACCACCATCAAGGTAATAGTTCAGATGCACCTGACACTTTGTTTTTTGCTTTCTGGCGTTTGTGCCTTGATTTCTGGCATCGATGAGTTTTTAGAGAACAAGTTTATCAACTGTTTTTTTCTAATCATATTGTTTATTTAGTAAACTGAATGAATATAAATGATACTTCTGTTCAACAAGTTCTGGTGATTTTTTTCATTTTTTAATACATTTGTACAGTAATTTATTTTTTAGTTGCGATTGCTTATGTTGTGAGGTTTAAGGCTCAATTATACTGTTCTAATCCTCTATCAAATGATCCTTCAGTGCGTTGATTCGGATGCTTTATTGTTGTTTTTTAGGCCGGCTTTAGCATTAACTAATCCAGCTCCAGCGATATGGGAAAAGGCGGAAATTGGTACTCGAGCTTTAACTCAGTGTCTCCCATGTTTTTCAGTTTGTCTTCCAGGCAAAAATACTGTCACGCAGAGCGAATACCGACGGATAATACCAAATCATAAGTTGGCATTTAAAAAACTGGGGCTTTATTTCTACCTCAACTTTTTCCTCACTTTCTTTATGCGTCGTGCCGCAAAAGATACTGTAAAGCATTTTCTTAATTTCAATTCTAGGTTTTATACATATGTAGAGAAGGCTTTTCTTTTATAGATTTGATCCGTCGACTCCTAGATATAGGCATCCAAACAGGACGGTCTATTCGGATAACCGAGTTTGTACTACCAAATACAGTCTACTGACTTTTCTACCAAAAAATTTGTTTGAACAGGTATCTTCAACACTTCTTATGTTGTTTCTCATCGCAAAGTGTTGGTGTGTAACAGAATAAGAAAATGTTATTTGAATAATGCGGTCGAAATTGATTGAAAACTTAGCAATTAATGTTAATTTGAAGGGTTTTACATATGTTTATATGGTTTCATCAGTGTAATTAACTGAAAACTATTTGATATTGCTACTTATTTTCTTGATTATATGTGCTGTTATCTAATTTTTTATTGACGGCTTCTCTTAAAGTTACTATTTTATAGTTTCATCGAGCAGCAAATTTGTATTTTATTGCTGTAGTCCTTCTCAATATCGTTGTTGGTACGTTTGGACGTTATGTGTCTATGGTTCCGATTGCATTTGTTTTATCGGTAACCGCAGTTAAGGATATCTTCGAAGTGCGTGAATTTTTTAAATAGTTTTTTTTTGTTATACTGTTGTTTCGGTTTTTTATAAACTTTTTGTTTTTTAACTTTACATAAATTTTGCTTTAACTGGACAAAAAATTAAACCTATTCTTTTCTGCTTGATTGAATTAGCTGGTACCAGAATGATTTCTTCAGGATTATCGGCGTTACAGATCAGATTTGCAAATCAATCACTCAAAGTGTCGTGTATGGGATAAGTATGCCGTACAGTTGTATTAGATTTTTGCTTTATATTCCTTAATTAATTTGATCGTGGGTTTCAGTTATAT